CTATCTCCCTAGCTTCCCTGGTTTCAAGTCTCAGCAAAAGTTCCACCTTCTGAAAGAAGCCTTTCCTAGGCCTCCTTAATCTTATGTCTTCCCTCTGAAATGACCCTGATTTATCTTGTCTATATTTTGTTTGTATATAGCTGTTGGCATATTAGACAACTTCATATATGAGCTCCTTTAAGGCATGGACTGATTTCTGCATTCTTTGTGTTTCCAGCATTTAGCACAGTGCCTGCACATAGTTGGCATTTAATAAATTCTAGTTGGTGGCGAAGTAGATAGAGCACCGGGCTTGGAATCAGGAAGACTTATCTTCCCGAGTTCAAAGCTAGTCTCAGACACTTACTAGTTGTGTGACGCTGGGCAAGTCACTTCACCCTGTTTGCTTCAGTTTCCTCCTTTGCAAAATGAGCTGGAGAAGAAAATGGCAAACCACTCCAGTATCTTTGCCGAGAAAAATGACTGAGCCACAATCAAACCTATTAGAGCAAGGCATCTGTCCATCAGAATATTTCATTGTCTAAGCTTTCAAAGGAGGATGATCTAGAAAAAATACCGTAGTTAGTAGGAAGAGAGCAATATTCTCCCAGTCCTCCCACTTCAGTTTTCTAGGTATATCACCTGGCATCTTACCTGGTAATCAGATCACATCCCCTTGGTGCACACTCCATGATTTTGCTAAAGAAGCAAAGTGGCCTGCTTCCTGACCGTCTTGTGTCTCTTTTCAGCAACTTCAAAAGGCTTTCTAACCTGAAAGTTTTGTCAAATCTCTTTAATAGGAACAAGATATAAATTCTCAAAAATTAATACATAAGTCACATTTCTGTAGCACTTGAAAGCTGCCTAAGTATTTGAGACACAATTACCTTGTGACACCAGTGGTACCAGTACTACCGCTAATTTACAGATACTACCATTACATAGCATGCTCATTACACATCATACAATTAAGGACAATATCTGACTAGTTCCCAGATAACGGAATCATTTCATTTTAGGGTGAAAATATTAGGGAAATTCAGTAATACTGCATTTGCCCTCACTTAAAATACTTTATATCCCTTCGCTTCTAAGAAGTCTTTTCCAAAGGGTTTATACCCTTCAAATTTACATTTCTAGCAGTTCTCTCTATGTTTACTGGGGGGAAAAAATTTTAAATGGAAAACAAAAATTAAGTAGGGAAAAGCATGTTATTTGTATGATATACATGCCAGGAGAGTCCAATTCTTTAAAAAGTGATTGATCATGTAGCACCATCTATGTTCTCATGGGTCAGTGACGGTTTTCAGACAGAAAAACTTCGAGGTGAATCTGACCCCAGGCCCCCTTCAAACCTTCGAATTACTGAACGTTACTGAAAGGTGACAACTTGTTTCTGTATGAAAAGATCATTTCTTGGGAGATCTGAAGGATGAAAAAAAAAAATCCAACACCCTTGACCCTAACCACGGTCAAGTCCATGAAAGAAGGCTTCCTACAATTAGAATAGCATGATCTTTAAAACTATTGACAGACGGAATCTTACTTTTCAACCGAATAGTTATGTCGAAAGTTCCCACCTCACCTTTCTGTGTATGTAACATCTCACATTTCTACAGTACTTTAAGGTTTAAAAAGCACTTCTCTCATAGTCTTGGGAAACAAGTAGTACACATGTGATCCCAATTTTATAGATGAGGAAACAAAAGGTCTGAGTGGTCAACTGACAAGGTCCAACCCTGTTACTGTCATACTCAGTAAACTCCAGTGGCTTCCTATCACCTCTGGGATCAAATCCAAAATCCTGTTTCCTGTTCCAAGCCTTTTATGACCTATCCTCCCTTCTGTCTTTTCCCAGCTTCTTATACCTTACAACCCCCTCCTTCACCACGTATACTCAATCCAGTGACATTGGCCTCCATGCTGTTCCATGGACAAAATACTCTATTATGACTTGGCTCTGGGCATTTTCTCTGGCTGTCCCTCAGGCCTGAAATGCTCTCTCTTCTCATCTCTGCTTCCTGGTTTCCCTATCTTCCTTCAAGTCCCAACTAAAATCCCACCTTTTAAAAAACGTTAAAAGAATTTTTTTTAATTTTGAGATCTGGGGGCAGCTAGCGGCGCAGTGGATAGAGCACTGGCCCTGGATTCAGGAGAACCTGAGTTCAAATCCGACCTCAGACACATAACACTTACTAGCTGTGTGACCCTGGGCAAGTCACTTAACCCCATTGCCTAAAATAACAACAAAAATTTTGAGATCTGAATTCTCTCCCTCCCTCCCCCAGCCACTGAGAAGACAAGAAATGTGATTATCAATTATACAGGAAACCTTTCCCAATCCCTCAAAGCTCCAGTAACTAGATGTCAAGTCTTGAGTCAGAAAGACCTGAGTCCTGATACCACCTCAGACCCTTACTAGCTATCATTTAACCTGTCAGTTTCCTCGACTGTAAAATGGGGATAAGAATAGGACCTACCTCTCAGGGGTTGTTGTGAGGATAAAGTAACATTTGTAAAGTATCTAGTTATGCTTGGGGAATGAGAACATGGGCCAATTTGGCGGGAGGTAGATTGTATGAGGGTGAGTAAAGCAACATAAATTTGAAAAGGTAGGCTAGATCCAATATAGAACAGGGTTTTAAATTATGTTTATGATTTATCCTAGGGTAGGGTGGCAGCCTAGAATGCTGCTTCTGTACTTCATAAAGTAGTTTCTCAACTGGCTACAGCTAAAAAAGGTCAAAACTAAGACTTCTCTAGCTAGTAAACAAACCTCAGAAACCTATTTCCTCACCTTTCAAAATGAGGAAAACCCTTGACAGGTGATTAATTCTTAGTTTGAGTTAAGATGCACTGAAAACATAATCTCTAATGGTTTCTGGATACTACTTCCGTTACCTTGTCATGTAACATAGTAGTCATGTAACAACTTTATAATTCCTTGGCTAAGCTACCATCTATCTTTCCTCACTTTGGTTCTGCAGCAGTTTTAGCTAATATTAATATTTCAACAAATGCAGGGCCTTTTGACACCCAAATTTTTACCTCTCAGATACATACCAATTCTGTAGTGATACTAAGCAACATTTTCCAAGCTGAAAGGAGACAATTTGCTACAGTCAGTGTACACTCTTCAGCCAAATATCCTGCTATAAAAACATACTACCAGTCTATTTTGGTTTCAATGAAATTTTATTTTGCACATCAAGCACAACATTTTTTAAACACTTGGCAAAGCACATAACATATAAATATATATATATATATATATATATATATATATATATATATATATATATATATATATATATATATATATTATTTCCCCACCCCCACCCCAGTGTTGCATTATCTAGCAAAAGCCAATTTAAGAAGATAAAATGGACAATTTTGATTACATGAAATTCAAGTTTGGGCACAACCAATGCAGACAAAATTAGAACAGAAGCAAATAACTAGGCAATTTTTGTAGCGAGTTTCTCTAATAATAAGACACACAGGGAATTAATTCAGATTAATAAGACCAAGAGCCATTCCCCAATTGATAAATGGTCAAAGGATATGAAAATGCAGTTTTCAAGAAATCCAAGCTGTCAATACACATGAAAAAATGCTCCAAATCACTAGAGAAATGCAAATTAGACCTCTCAGCTTAGAAAAGTTGACAAAAAAGGAAAAAGACAAATGCTCGATGGGCTGTGGGAAAATGGATACAATAATGAACCATTGGTTGAACTGCGAACTGGCCCAGCCATTGAGGAAAGCGATTTGGAACAATGTAAAAAAAGTTATTAAACTGCACATATCCGTTGGCCTGGCAATGCCACCACTAAGACTATACCCTTCAAGAGATCAAAGAAAAAGGAAAATGACCCATATGAATATGCATAACAACTGTTTTGTGGTGTCAAAGAACTGGAAAGGGGATACCCATCACTTGAGGAATGGCTGAACAAACTGTGCTATATGAATGTTATGGAATACTACTGCACTATAAGAAATGGAGATTTTTCAGAGCAACATGGGAAGACTTACATGAGCTAATGCAGAATGAAGTGAGCAGATCTAGAAAAATAAGGTATACAATAGCATTATGCAATGAGCAACCACAGTTTCAATGGACTCACAATGAAACATACTACCCACCTCCTTGACAGGAAAGGCGATGGACTCAAGATACATATATCAAGACGTTTTCTGGACATGGTCAATGGAGGAATTTGTTTTGCTTGATTTTACATATTTGTTACAAGGGTTTTCTTTTTCAATGGGGGTGTGGTGGGATGGAAGGCAATTTTCATTAACTGGCATGAAGGTTACAAATGTTTTCATTTGAAAATGAGAATGTACAACATTTACATGAACACAGCTCTAAAATCTAGATTCAAACTAGTGAACAGATCATTCCATACACAGACCAAAGGATGTTTTCATGTATTTGAAGAGCTATCTGAAGGAGGAGGGATTAGAAAAATTCTCATTAGCCTCAGAGGGCAGAATTAGGGATGGAAGTCATAAAAGCAAATTTAGCTTTGACATGGAAGGGGCTGTCTTAGGAAAACAGTGGGTTCCCCCGTAACTAGAGGTCTTTAGCAGAGACTGGATGATGTCTGGACAGGATGCAGGCCCTCTCTCACTGATTCTGTGAACTCTTGAAGGGAACAGCTTTCCCTTTAGGTCTCATGGCACCTTGATTTATTAAACAGAGGATGAAGCATGAAGTATACCCAAATGGATAATGGCAATTGGGTGGCCACCTTGACAGCAAACTCTTGAGAACTCTGTAACATGGGATATAGCTTTGTGAACTCACTGCTATTTCTGAATCAGAGAAGTTAAAAGCACTGCAAAGTTAGCTTCTCTGCGGTATCCAAAGTTTCATTTGTTGGGTAGGGGAAAAGCTAATGCAGAAATGCAACAGTGCTCCTTAATATTACTACTAATACATTCACAAGACCATTAAGCTAATTGGAGCACAGACTTCTTTTATATGAGAAAGGAACAAAATCTACACGACAAAGATTTCAAATGCATTTTATTACATCAATAATGCCACATTACAGTTGATAACAGACTACCTTTACTTCGTATGTTAATTTTGAGACAATCCAGAATGTCGCCAGCTTGGACAAAAAGGAATTTCTCCTTTACTGGCTTCTCCAGTCTTTTGGGACGACTCTGCCAACAGGGGACAGGTTCCATTCGATTCCAATTTGTGTGGCCGCCTATGAGATTAAAAAGGTTCTCAGTTATATGTTTGCAAATGTTAGGTATGCCTCCCCAGCCAATTTCCTTGTAAAGGAAAGGAAAAGCCAGGGTGCTCATTCAGTTTCAGAGATCTTACATTTCTGTACTAGAGACTTTTTCCCTCAAAAATTGACCTCCCACAACTACTCAATAAATGCCCCATTCTCAGGAACTCCCCTCTCCCTTTTCACTGGTTAGAACCATAAATAATTAACCCTTGGTTACTTACAGTATTTGTTAAATGTAAGAGGGAAATACTTTCATCTAATAGCAAGTTAGCTTTTATCCCACATTTCCCTTAGCAATAATTCTGTACTAAGAGGGGGATGCAATGGTACTTACATATGCCCAAATGGCAAGACAGAAAGTGGCTCCACTTAGCAATATTGGGGTGCCATACTTATCATGAAAATTAGGTAGCCTGTCCTGGTGGTTCTGCCTTTCAACAGTTTGCTGAAAGCTGCGAACTAGAAAACAAAACAAAGAAGTATATCAGTTTTCAGGAAACCAGATCAGACTTGTGATTCATAATAATCATGAAAGACAAGTATACGATTTTATGGTACTATACACCTCATGTTTGCTTAAAGTGAAAAAACAAAGTAGGAAGGGAGACAAACCGAATCACAGAATGACCATACTATGGAGAAATTTACGCAGAACCAAAATAAAAGACTCACTTTTTCCTCAAACTAGACTATAGGATCATAGATCTAGAAGGGACTTCAAGTCATTTAGTTCAATATCCTCATTTTAAAGATGAGAAAATGAGGCCCAGATAAGTTAAGTGATTTGCCAAATGTCACACAGGTAGTAAGCTCAGGAGAATATGAACCCAGGTCCTGGACTCCAGAGACAGTGCTCATTTCACCGTACTCCTAAAATACATGAATAATAGCATTGCCTCCAAATAGTATAAACTTAGGTTTAAATTATAATAGAACAAGAAGGGAAAAATTTCAATTTTCTGCCCCTTCATAGGCATGCATAAAATGTTTGTTACTGCAAATCCACTTTTTAGAACCTCTTATGCAGTGTGAACTATCATGATACAGATTTCATATCTGAAGTGTCATAGTTACTATGATTTTAGCTACTAATTTGTAGTCCAGAGTGACTAAGCTGTGGAGGGGGGTGTGGTGATCTGAAAATGTGTGTGTGTGTGTGTGTGTGTGTGTGTGTACACACCACACACACAACAACTTCTAGTAATTGAATTGATTGATCCTCAATTCCAAGGCATCGAGGTCTCCCCAATTCCAAGGCCAGTCCTTTCTATCCACTATGATGTATTATCTGAAAAACATGTTAATATGCTATGAGACATATGCTATCAAATTATGAGGTGCAAGGGCAAACAAATTCAAACTCAAATATATCATGAGAACACAATAAAAAGCATACCTTAAAAAACCCCAACAGACATCTCCAAAATTTAAGATAATCATCAAGAACTTATCACTTATAGTACCTATTAATTTGAGTCAAGTTTTGTGTATTAGCAAAGTTGCCCCCACCCCCACCCCACCATGTGTACCAGGACTATATAGTAAAGAAAAATTCCTTTTAACAGAATCTATTTCCTCATATTTGGAGTATTCTATTCACCAATGTTAACTGATGTTTTATTCATCCTTTGTCACATAATTTAAGCAATGCAGAAAGCAGCACTAGGAATCAGAAGACTGGGACTCAAATTCCTGCCTTTGACCTTGGGCAAGTCACTTAACCTCTCTAGGCCTCATGTAAAATGACTGGGATTAGAAGAGATGATTTCTAAATGCATGATCCTGTATAAACCTGGTGGGGGAAAAAACAACAACAACAAAAAAGGCCTAGCCCTTTCCTACTCCAAAGGAGGAGCTTCAAAATCTTTAAAGTATGCTTGCTAGTCATCTCCCCCCCCCAACTTCCTCTCCTACTAAACTCCACCCCTCCCATAAGATGTAATGGAGCTGCACGATAACATAAAAGCATGCATAAATTTCTTTATGCCCTTTCCCAAATTATCTCCCCTCAGTTCCCTATTTCTTGAATTTTGCTAGGTTTTAAAACATGCTCTACAGGTGGCATAAAATTTAAAATTAAGTTTACTGTACTAACCTCTTGAGGTTAGTGGCAGCGAGGCACTGGCCTGGGAGTTGTGCTGTGTGAGGTCCTTGGGGACCTCCCCTCTCTGGGCCTCTGTTTCCCCATCTGTAAAATGAGGGGGTTGGACCAAATCAGGTGTCAAACTCTCAGCCAATAAAACTCCCGAGTATGGCCGAATCAGATACAAATGTAATTGGGAAATGCTTCACAAAATAAATAAAAATTAAATACATTGTAGATGACGTTATTCGGCCTGCAGGAATCCATTTCTAATTGAGTTTGACACCACTGGACTAGATCATCTCCAAGGCCCCTTCAAGTTCTAACAAATATGCTATTATTCTTAAACAAGTAAATTGGTCTCTTATGAGATCCAGCCAAGATCTCCATATGCTAATGATGAAATAGCACCAGGATGATCACGATATAATTAGTCCAGGTTGTCCACATGACCCCAGGAGACCCATCTCCTTCCCTTCCTCCTAGCAAGTAAACAGGAAGAGAATTTTATTTAAAAGATGATTAGACATTAATATTTTATTCCTTGAACAGCTTAAAGAATATCCATTTGCATATCAAACCTTGGCTATCAGCCACCCTGCAAAGCGCACAGACATTGACTAAAAGGAGAAAGAGGGGGAATCTGTTGGACTTCATCTTTTAAACTCCACCCCCCCTCAAGCCCCAGTGAGCTTATTTGGCCAAGTCCTGAATTCCCCCTCTTTCAACTCTAGCTCTTTTATGTGTTTAGTCTTATCAGAAGTAGAAAGGAAGCTCCAGGAAAAAAAGGAGTGTCTTGCTTTGTTGTATCCCCAGCGCTTAGCACAGTGGCTGGCATATGAGCTTAAAAGCTTCATTTACACATTCGTTCATTCATTCACTCATTGATTCATTCAAAGTCTTCCTAGAAAGGATAAAAAAAATTGGCTACAAAAGATACACATAATAAAGATTCTTTCCTGACAGATGAAACCTCCCTAATTGAGCTACATTATTATTTCTTCAGCCCCCTCAAAAGATATGCCTTTTCTTTTCAGGCAGAAGAGGGGGTGGGGGGTAGTTTGCGGCATATGTCATGTGACTTCCCCTGCCTAGCGCATTGCAGGGGTAAGAATGCGGGTTTCCATTATGACAAAGGTGGGCCGAGCCAGATCTTTAGTAGCCATCTTAGAAGCCGCTTTAGGGTGGCGCAGACAATAATAAAAGTACATTCCCTCGACTCCACCCCCACGCCCCGACCCTGGGCAGCACAGTAAAAAGGGTTAGAGCAAATAACATTGAAGAGATGCTCAAAGTCACACTGGGGCCAATAACAGAAATCAGGTCATTTAACAGTCTAAAGGGCAATCCCGAAAGCAATATACTTTTTCCGCCCACATTGGCCAGTTGTACCAGGTTAATTTTGACAAGGGCAAGGCTGGGGACGGGGCGAGGACTATATTTGGAGAGGCCAGCGTTCCATATACAGAGGCATAAATGCCCCTCGGGCAAGCGCAATTAATTTCTTGTGCCCCAGGGGAGGAGTGAAGGTGTCCTTGGCCGTACCGATAAAGTCCGGGCAAATACAGAAACCAAGAGGATGGCAAGGGTATGAGCGTCCTGCCCTTCAAAGTCACCGCGACCCTGGCAACGGCACAGAGCGGTTGGGGGGAGCGAGTGCCCAACCTGGGATTAGTTTTAGGAAAGGGCGTGCAGCACCCCAGTGGACCCTCCAAGGTCTTTTACCAAGGTCACTGAGACAGCAGAGAGCTAGCGAGGCTTCCTCCTCCAGCAAGAGCACGAAATGACAGCTCCTCCAGGAGGCGGAAACATAGCCGGGTCCCTGGCGACCAGACGCCCAGAAACGCTAGGGACTGAGGAGGGCCTCTTCCCCCGCAGGCTTGGTAGACAGCAGTGTTCGCAAACCGAGGCGAAAGGTGCTGTCTACAGAATTAAGAGGCCTCGAGGAGGGAGAACAAAGGGATTCAAGGTTATCTGAAGGTTCAGTTTGCCTTTTCAAGGGATAATCTCTCTAGAAAAAAAAGGAAATTTGCTTACCCGAAAAGCGGCTCAAGGCCCTCCTAAACAGAGGGAACATCGCCAAAAGAGCAAGAAGAAACCACAAGGGACTCAGGTTGTCGACAGCGCGCCAAGCGCGTTGCTCCGTCCTTGCAAGAAGTCAAAAGAAACAAAATGGCGCTCTGCGGCGCCCCCTAAAGGGGAACCGTAACTCTCGCGATACCTCCAATTTCTCGTCGGAACTGCAGTACATTTTACTGCAGAGAAAGTCAGAAATGACATCTGGGAAATGTAGTTTAGGAAACGAGCAAAAAAATAAAAGAACATTAATCGTGAATTTAACCAATGAAATGTCCTTGTACTTCAGATATAATGGGGGCGGAGGCAGAGGCAGGGTGTCGTTAGGGAGGATTAAAAATTGTATTCCTGGGCAAAAAACGTGATTTCGACCCTGGGCCAGACCAGGAAATTTACGTACAGCCCTCCTCCCTTTTCAATGATGTAATCAGATAGTTTTTGCTGCAGTGCAGTCAGGATCTAGGTGACGTCTGTCCTTTCCCTAAATGGGGTGTTCTGGCCTCTGCATAGAGGCATGGGGTCAAATCCTGCTTCTGACGCACCAGGTTGTTTGTTTGTTTGTTTGTTTCTTTTTCTTCTCATTCTGAAGAGAAGCTATTTTCTTTCTTTCCTTTGTGTTTCCTACACTATCCTGCTCATTACAATAATACTGTGTATCAGTACTCACTTTTCTTATATGGCTTTGAAGGGTAAAGAACCAAAAAATGGACATTAACATTATATCTAAATTCTTGTAACTTGGGAGGAGGGATCTGAAGGAGATACTGTCATATTCCTCATAAAATCACTAGATACAACTTAGTAGGATACACTGCAGGGGACTAGAGAAAGGGAAATCTCTAACCTCTCTCAACCCCAAAGGCATGGTCTTCTTAATTTAGATAGTGAAAATGAACTGGCATGCTCTTCTTACTTTAGGGACAGCTGAATTAACTGATGATTGAACACTAAACATAATCTTGTGGGGGTGTTGGGGTGAGAAGGTAGATCTTGAGCACCAAATTCATCTTCCTGCAAGCATTTTAAAAAAGGAAAGGGGGGGGTACAAAAAGCTTCTATTATGTAACCTGCATAATTTAAGGCCCGCAAAGTGCTGCCATAGAGGGCCTAGAAATTAATTGACTGACAAATAAGCAAGATGAATAAAAATACAAGCTTTCTCTTTTTTTCTTCTCTCTCTATCCCCTTCACCCCGTTCCACCCTTCCTACAGTCTGTTCTCCAACCCCATGCCACCCCCACCCCCACCTTGCTACCTGTCCCCACCAAGCCTATTAGGTAGTAAAACACTTGATAGATTTTGGGTTTTATTAAGCTAATGATACCTATTGCAATTTCCCCCAAAATGACAACGATTGATTAATTATTCTCATGCCTTTTTTCTTTGTCTCTTTTCGGAATCTTTATTCGAAAAACTCTTGGGACCGAAAAAAAGTCTACATCGTGCTATTATTTAATTGAAGTGGTAAAATTCGCGCAGCTTTTAATTCCTGGAAAGGGGGAGTGGCAAGCTTTATGATTTTTATAAACAGAATATCGTCTTTGCGGATCAAAATTATCTCAGGCTGCAAAATGACTTTTCACGCATGTGCAGTTCAATTCAACAAGTCTAACTGAGGGCCAGACACCGTGGAGGGTTCTGGGAACAGGAAACCGAGAAGGAAAGGATACTCTCTGTCCTTGAGAAATTTACATTCTCCTGAGGGAAAGAAACAAAAATCACAGAGACAACTGAATACAAAAGAGTCACAAAGTGATTTACAGGGGGAAGGCACATATTACTTGTTTCCAGGCAGTTCTATATGCAGCCGAGGGGACACATTTATCTACATTTGGGTGTCTCCGGGTAGCATCTCTTGGAGACTGTATCAAAAGAGCCAATCAGAAAACTCCAGATCATTCTGCTCAAGGCTGCAGACCACCGGAAACCGACCAATCAGAAATAAAAACTCTTTTGTCCAGACGCCGGAGTTGCGGGTTTAAACTAGAAGGGAGAAGGCGGGGCGTCTTTTGTGACCTACACCAATGAACGGACGCGCCCGGGTGGGCCGTTTCCTTCTCCCGCCCCTTCCATCCCCGGCAGAGGAAAGTTTCACTCGGGCTGGCTGCTGCTGGGAACAGAGCGCAGCGGAGCAGCCATGGCTGTTGGTTGGCGAGTTTGGTGCGTGCCGGCGGTGGCGGCGCTGGCGCTGGCGCTGCTCTTCGTGGCTTGCCGCTTCCCCTCTGCCTCTGCCTTCCGCAGAAAGGAGGTGAGCAGCGGCCGTTGGTTGGCTCGCTTGCCCTTGCGGCGGCGGCTCCGCAACCTGCTGTGGTAGGGGGGGCTACCGCTCTCTGCCTGGGGGTGTGACGCCGGAAGGGGGTTTGGGAGACCTGAGGGTGCGGCCTCGGGCCCCTCCCCTGGTGCTGTCTGCCGGGACGGGACAGGGCGGAGGGGGGCGCTGTGTGCCCAGGGTTGGAGGGGGCCGGTCCGATTCGGGGGAGCAGAGGGGTCTGCGCCCCCTCCTTCGACTGCCTCCCCCGGCGGAGGCGCGCCCTCCCCGCTAAGCTCTGGGCCTGCTTTTCACATCTCTAGACTTTGGGATAGATGATCTCCTAGGACTCTAGAATCAATAAGCCTTCCAACATTGACCATGGTCCTGGGAACTACGGCTCGCCCCAAACTCCTAGTCCGGGAGCAGCCGGGCCTGACGTTGGCTGTCTTTCACTGGGGGCAACGCCACACCCAAGAGAGAGAGCATAGAGTGGCGATCTAGAAAGAGGCCTTCGAGATCCTTTGGTCCAAGGGCCTCATTTCACAGGCCCAGAGAGGGAAGACCCAACCAGTCGGCCTGCCCACCTGCCTGCCTCATTCATTGAGCAAACACCCCATCCCCCACCCCCAACATTATAACGTTTCTCTTCCAAACATTTGTTGCTTGACTCGAAACATTTGTAAACTCGATGGGCACTAAACCCTCCTGGTTACTGATTCATTGTCAACAGTGCTTTGCCTTAACTGAAATACACAAGTGTCTCCTCATTGTACCGTAACTGTTACACAGCCAATTCAGGGATTCTGCTACTGCGGACGTTACTAATAAGGATACGTGTTACTGTAAAAATGTATTTAGGCAGGCCAGCTCTACATAGAAGCAGTTGTGGACCTAGGGTGGGAAGGGACCACCGAAGCCATCTTATCTATGTGTTTTACTACCCTCATTTTACTGAGGGCCCAGACAGGTTAAAGTAACTTGCCCCAGGTCACATGAAAAGGAAGTAGGTGACTGAATATGAATATGAATGAGATATGAACCCGAGACCTCTACCTCCAAATTTAGCACTCTTTCCATCCACCGATGTGTCTCTCTCAATGACATACTTATTGTACTGTTTGTGAAAAGTCAGGAATTTGCAGCTCCTTCATATAAAGGGTGACACTTTAATCATGCCATCTCTAGGCTCTGGGCATTTTCTCTGGCTGCCCCCCATGCCTGGAATTCTTTCCCTCCTCTTCTCCACCTACTTGGCTTCCTTTGAGTCCCAACTAAAATCTAGTCTTCTTCGAGAATCCTTTTCCAACCCCTCTTAAATCTAATGCCTTCTCTTAATAATTTCCTGTGTAACATCTGGGAGAACACATTGTTTACTTGTTCCCCATTAGATTGTGAGCTCCTTGAGGGCAGGAATTGTCTTTTGCCTCTTTTTGTATCCCCCAGTGCTTAGCACAGTGCCTGGCACATAGTAGGCACTTAATAAATGTTTATTGATTGACAAACATACCTTAAGTTTCACAACCAAAGTGAGATTTTCCCCATCTCCATATTTGCAGTGATAGTCCACTAAAAATATTTAAACTTTCATTTGTTATGTGCTTCCTAGCCTTCCATCAGCCAATTCCTCACAGAAGAGGAGCAGAACTTTTGCCCCTTAAAGTCTTCTGTACATCCCCCCTTCCCAACTTTTTACTATCCCCTTTTTTCAGATGAAAATAGGATACCAAAACTCAGAGAGGTGAGTATAATTAGCATTGAAATATAATTTCTCATTAAACCAAAGTGGCAGTTGAGAAGTGGATTTTTTTATTCTGGTAAGAAAACTAAGAATTAAGTCAATAATATGATATTTAGCTCATTGTATACCAGAGCCCACTTCCTTTTTACCCCTAGTCATCCTTTGTTTCAGAATTTAAAGCACCAACAATTTGAGTATTGTGAAAAATTCTTTCATTCTGTTTTGTAGATGGTGTTGTCAGAAAAGGTTAGTCAGCTGATGGACTGGACCAGCAAGAGAGCAGTGATAAGAATGAATGGAGATAAGTTCCGCCGTTTTGTCAAGGCATCACCAAAAAACTACTCAGTGATTGTGATGTTTACAGCTCTCGAACCCCATCGACAGTGTCTGGTGTGCCGGTACGACCTTTCAGCCCTAATCTGATGTCATTTGAGGATGTTTTTTGAAAAAATTGAAAGACAAAATGTTGACCATTCCCACTCCCTTACCAGAGCCAGTCCAATTATGCTGACATTTCCTGTCTCGATCCCCACCGTCAGGTCTACAGAGATAGGTAGATAGGTAGATAGATAGTCTTCACTGGACAATGGACAATGATCGATTAACCAATGAGGGCTTGAGATTTTTCATCATTTACACCAAAAGATAATATTTATTAAACTTTCCCTCTAATTACATTCCTGCTTCTTTACATAGGAAGAGGAAAGGCAATGGAATGGAGCAGAACAAATACTGGATTAGGAGTTGGAACGCATAGATTCAAATTTAGACTTTCTCTTCACTGTTTGTTTAACCTTGGACAGGTCATTTGATTTCCCTAAGCCTCAGTTTCATCATATGGAAAATGAGGGGGCTGGATCATTAAATCCCTTGCAACTTTAGATCCTATGATCCTACCAATTATCTATACTAATAATTATAGCTATTATTTATATACTACTCTTCAGGTTTGCAAAGCATAATACAGATCATGTTTCATTTAATTCATACACTAACCCTGTGAGGTAGGTACTATTAGTATCCCCGTTTTACAGATGAGGAAACTGAAGCTGAGAGAGATTGAGTGGCTTGCCCAAGACCAGGAAGCTAGTAAGGCACTGTTTTCACTATAGCCTTATAGTTGTCTAATGATTATACTTCCAAAGTTCTAATTTAATCAGTATCACAGTACTGTTTAGCTCGCAGGTGAAATAATTTTTAGCAGTGATTTTTTGAATTCTCAGAAAAATAAGTACATAAATACTAAAGATGAATATAACCCCAGCTATGTAGCTTGCATCTTTGGGATGGATTCCTTTATTCAGTATAGCATTGAATAGTGCTTCTTCAGCTGCTTTCTGATGCATCCCTCTGAACTGCAGTTGTGATTCTCATTTCCTCAGGATGAAGGCAGAGTACCTTACTCAGAATCCAGTTTGGGTCATTTTTGTGGTTGGTGCTGAGTCCTTTCAGTCCTGTCAGTCATGACCCTATTTGAGGTTTCCTTGGCAAAGATACTGGAGTGGTTTGCCATTTCCTTCTCCAGCTCATTTTACAGATGAGGAAACTGAGGCAAACGGGGTGAAGTGACTCACCCAGGGTCACACAGCTAATAAGTGTCAGAGTCGGATTTGCCCTCAGGAAGGTGCATCTTCCTGACTCCAGGCTTGGCACTCAGCCCACTGCAGCACCTCCTAGCTGCCCCTTTGTGTCATTTAGACACATTTTCTTCCTCTTCACTCTGGTGGGTGGGGGGGGCATTCACAAGCCTTTCTCTGCTCTTGTTTATATGTATGTGCATTATTTGGGGTTTTTTTTAACTGTTGGTAAGTTCAGGCATTCTTTTTTATTTGTTTTCACATATGTTTGTATCTAGGCAAGCTGACGAAGAGTTTCATATTTTGGCCAACTCCTGGCGATATTCCAATGCATTTACCAACAAGATATTTTTTGCTATGGTGGATTTCGATGATGGGTCTGATGTATTTCAGATGGTAAGATTTTCTTAAGATACTGAATCAGAGTGGGTAACATCTGGGAGAATGGCATTATAATGTCAAAATCTTTCAGCTTTTTTTTTCCCTTGCAGTTACTAGTGAATTATTTTCCTGGGGTCATTTCCTCCTTTTAGTGATGTTTTTATTTGGGTTTTCTGTTTGGTTTGCTTTCACATCAGCTCAACATGAATTCAGCTCCAACTTTCATGAACTTCCCTGCCAAAGGAAAGCCAAAACAGAGTGATACATACGAGTTGCAGGTTCGAGGTTTTTCAGCTGAACAGATTGCCCGGTGGATAGCTGATCGAACTGATGTCAATGTAAGTTTGCTCAATTTGGAGAAAAATCTGTTTTCAGAAAGTTCACTAGACAGTCAAGATAACAAAGGTATTTACCATTTTCCCCCTCCTTGTCTTACTCAGAATCACTAAATTTAACTGTTCCCTACTCCCCCAAAGATATAAAATGATGGTACAGTTTCCTGAATCAGAGAACTAAGTGAGAGGACTTCATGTGTTTGGTTTTATTTTTCAGTTGATCAGTGAGGTAACCTTGGGAGGTCCGCAAGTTAAAAAACATAGTGGTATCTAGAGAGAATCCCTTCCTTGATTAGATAGCCTAAATTGCAATGAAGTGCATGACATGTCATTTTATTATATAATATTCCCATGAAGTGAGACTTCATGTTCCCTAGGGGGTTATCATGCTAATCTTATTCATGCCTTCGTTTCTAATTATTTTGCCACAGCAAATTGTTGAATATATGCTTTAAACATGTTTTTCTTCTCTCTTAGATTCGAATAATTAGGCCTGCAAATTATGCTGGCCCCCTCATGTTAGGATTGCTTTTGGCTGTTATTGGTGGCCTCGTGTATCTTCGAAGAAGTAATCTCGATTTTCTTTTTAACAAAACTGGATGGGCTTTCGCAGCTTTGGTAAGTGATTTATTAAAATCAGAGTTTTTTCTCTGAATAAAATTCAAAATGCTATCTCTTCAGTCATATACCTATACATATACATATACAGGCTATCCCCAAAGTCTTGGTGCAAGACTTTTGGAAAACTGTATTTCAGGAGAATTTTTTTGTGAGGAAAAGGGTAATATGGTTTTTTCTAGCCTGGACTCAGTACAGTGATTTGTTGCTATAAAATTAGAATGTTTGAGCTGATGTTCCATTTTCTGCTTGGAAGCAAATTGTTATTCTTATATCTCAGGCGATAGATAATACTCCAAAATTATATCTGTTTAGAAAAGACTTTTTAACTGGCTAACCCGAAGCCTCTCAGAAAGAGCTTAATCATGATCAGTATTTAGCAAAGTGCTTGGCACATACTAGATGCTTAGTAAATGTTGATTGATTGATTGATTAAAGTGTTGCCTGTTTTTTAGTAAATATATTTTTATCCTGATAAACTTATGACTATCAAGATAAAATCAAAGCATTTAGAATGACCTTCAATATTTGAAGAAAGAAAGCTCTTCTTGTATCAAATAGGATACATGAGGTTATCACTGTACTGTATAGTGCAAAAAGGATATAGGAGGCTCATCCATCATACATTATCCAAGTATGCTGAATAGATAGACTTTGCCATTTTACTTCACTATTTTAAGGGTGGTTTTTTTAAAAAATAATTTCGTATCTTTTTGTTTGTTTGTTTTTAGTGCTTTGTACTTGCCATGACGTCTGGACAGATGTGGAACCATATAAGGGGACCACCGTATGCTCATAAGAATCCCCATACAGGACAGGTGGTAAGGAAAGGCCAGGATTTCTTTACAATGCAGGCTCAGATTAATGCTAATCTGTCTATTATATGAAGTAAGCCCAGTTTCCTTCTTGGTCCCAATGTGTCATGGCTTCATATCTTGAAAATAGAAACCATTGAGCTCTTACATACAAGTTTGAAATGCTGTAAATGGCTCAGAAACATATGGTCCTCAGTTGCTGAAGAATAAAACTTCATTTTCCTGTAGAATAAGGCATCAAACTCCTGGGGCCTTTTGGAGAATACAGCCCATTTCATCATTTGTTGAGTTACACATGTTTAAAAATTACCATAGACTATTTCTTGGAAAGCATTTAAGTTAAGTCTCAAATGATTAAATCCAAAGCATAGTAGAATCCAAATTGCTAGGTTATTCCATCTCAAGTGAAGCAGTTCTTTCATCCTGGACGAATTTAATTGTGATCTATGTAGAATGAACACTAAGTTAATGGTGGCCATGGTGGAATTTATAGTGAGAAAACCCAATTTGATGTTATATGACCTTTGGCAAGCCTCTTACCCTCTCAAAGCAGCTCTGTTTCCTCAGTAAGAAGGTTAAAATACCCATCCTGTCTATTTCACTGTTCATTCTGGGGGTAGTGAGGCAAAAGAGCATTGGGTATAAAGCCACAGGACCTGGGTTCTAATCCTGGATCCTGCCTCCTTTTGGACAGTGGGAACTGTTGAGCTAATCTCTTAGTTTCCTCATTTGCAAAGTCAGGGGACTGAGCTAGATCTCCGAGGTCCATTCCAGATCTGAACTAGGAAGAAATGAGATACTGTGCATGAAAATATTTTGTGACCCTGTAAAACACCACGCACAAGGATGGGAATTCTAGTAATGGTTATTCAACAATCCTTATTTTGATTTGTATCTCAATGGCACTACTATATAGTAGTGCCATGTGCACGGGTAGGTTGTTGGAGCAATTAATTTCATATGAAAAACTCAGTCAATAATTGAACACCTCAATGGACTCAACATGCAGAATAAGACATACATTTTTGGACATCTCCAACGTGATGATTTGTTTTGCATCAGTATGTTTATTTCTTACAAAGATTTTTCTTTTTTCGTTTAGAGTCGGTAGAAATAAAAATAAATGCTTGTTAATTGGAGGGTCAAAGAATTGAGCACCTATTGAAAATGAGTTCTTCAACCCTTATCTAACCATTTTCGTTTATTTGGATGAACTCAGTGTTTGAAATATATGCTTTTCTTTATCCTTACTACGTGTGTTGAAGAATGGAAAAGCATGCATCAAGGACTTAATGTATGCCCAACCCCGTGCTAAGAAATGGAGATAGTAGGGGCAGCTAGGTGGCGCAGTGGATAGAGCACCGGCCCTGAATTCAGGAGGACCTGAGTTCAAATCTGGCCTCAGACACATAACCCTTACTAGTTGTGTGACCGCAGTCAAGTCACTTAACCCCATTGCCTAGCCAAAAAAAACAAAAACAAAAAAAAGAATTGGAGATAGTAACAGAGAAAGAGGGATAGTCTTTGCTCTCAAGGCTCTCACACGCCCATGAGGGGTGACAGTATACAAAAGAAAAGCTCAGCTACTGGGAAGATGGAAAGTCCTGAAAGTCCTAAGGGTGTGGGGATGGTGGCAAGGCCCAGGGGTCCTTTAGGTTACATTCTTTGGTCAGATAACAGTGGCAGGAAATCTGTCTCCTCCATAATTCCTAGACTATTGCAATAGTCCCATAATAGGCCTTCCTGCCTTTTGCTCAGTCCACAACAATCATGCCACCACCAGAATTATCTTTGGGTCATGTCATTCTTCTGTCTCAAATTCTTCAGTGGTTCCTTATGTTGCCTACTAAAAAAAAGGGTTAAAAAAATTGTTAGGGCAGCTAAGTGGTGCAGTGGATAGAGCACCAGCCCTGAAGTCAGGAGGACCTGAGTTCAAATCTGGCCTCAGACCAAACACTTGACACTTACTAGCTATGTGACCCTGGGCAAGTCACTTAACCCCAATTGCCTTAAAAAAAATTGTTTACATATATAAAAAACCTTTGCCTGGCATACAAAGACCACTGATAATTTGGTACCACCTTACCTTTCCATCTCACTTTACCCTGCAGCCAAACTGATCTATTCTCTCTACCTCCCATGTCCACCATCTTTTTCTCCCTCCTCCTTATCTTTGCTCATGCTATTTTCTATGTCTGCAAAGTCCTTTTTGCCTTTGTGAATTTCAGTCCTTTCTTTAATACCCAACTCAAATGCCATCCATCCCATGATGTGTTTCTCCTGTCCTCCCTCATATAACACTTAACCTTTATAGAAAATATTACATGAGAGCTGTGTATCTTTTCTTCCCCCATAGACTAAGTTCACTGATGGCAGGGATTGGGTCTTATCTAAACTTTGCATGTATTATGCCCAGCTCTCAACATAGTGCTTTTTGCCCAGTAGGCTCTTAATACATATTTACAAATAAAATCTGAGGATGTATGTTAGAAGGAACCTCAAGCCATTTAGTCTGACCTTTGACCTGTAACTGTAACATTAACTCCAACAAGTGACTAGCACAGGGGTGCAGCTTTCTCAAGGGGATTTGTTCTGTGACGTTTGGATTCGGTTAAAGGGCCTCACTTGAGGATCTAGAGGGCCATAGGTGGCCTCGAGGTCACAAGTTCCCTACCCCTGATCTAGCATCTTTTGGATGAAGACCTCCCATGAGGGGGAAACCTCCTCACTGTAGAGGCAGCCCATTCTAGTTTTGAATAGCTTTAATTGTTAGGAAGTTATTCCTTTCACAGAGCCTAACGTGGCCTCCTGGCAACTTTGTTGAGTTGCTCCTAATTTTTCCCTCTGGGAACAAGCACAAGAAGTCAGATCCCTCTTCCCTATGTCTGCCCTTCCAGTAATCAGTGTGAGCCATGATGTCTATCTCTTCCCTGCCCTCCTTAGAAGTGATCTCTAGGGGTAGCTAGCTGGTGCAGTAGATAGAACTCCAACCTTGGAGTCAGGAGGACCTGAGTTCAAATCTGGCATCAGACACTTGACACTTACTAGCTGTGTGACCCTGGGCAAGTCACTTAACCCCATTGCTTAGCCAAAAGAAAAAAAATAGACTTACTAGATGCCATGATATCTGTCACATGACAGTTCTATAGCTTGGTGATTCTTTGATCCTTTGGCCCCTTCGGTATTTCTGCCACCCTCTAGCTCTTAACTTCATGCAGGATGTTATCCTCTGCCTCGCCCATAAAGAGTTCCATTGCCTCATAGCCACTCAATCTTTCATAAGCAAAGAGGCAGAATAGGCCAACCATATTTGAAAAATATATAGGTTGCCTGCCATCCAACTTGCCACCTATAGCTCTCATTTCTTATTTGTAACCCATGGTCCATATCTTTCTCCATAATCCCCTTAATTCTTCAGGTGCCTGGACTCTCCATTTGGAGAAATGTTGTTTTGACTTGTTGTATTCCCTGTTGTGGTGGGAAACAGCGTGGGTAGCAAGTATTTGGCAGTTTTCTGACTTTTTAAAAAGCAGTGGGCCAAGTCACTTCCCAGATTTTTTTGTATCCATAGCTAAAGTAGCAACACGCCAAGAAACAAAAAGAAAATGTATTTTTCTCCCAGTGCTTGGAATATGTTCTGCATATTTTCATGGTGAATAATATTTACTTTTTAAAAAACCCTTAAATTTTCCTAAAAATTTGAAACCGTGGAAAATTCTTGTTTAGTTAATATGATTTTTTCCAGTTCTATGAAATAATTATAAGATATAGCAAAAAACCATCAGGCATAATTAGGATGCAGTAGTTTCCAACTATTGGTGGGTTCTCCCCTTTTCAATTAAGACTTTCTTATTTGTGACCCTAAAGTTATAGAATTTTTCCCATCTTCTTAATGAAATATATTTGGTCACTAAACTTCCTGATGGTAGAAAGCGGTTCTTAATGTCCCCATTGGATTTTTCTAGCACTTTTCTTGTTGCCATAAAGTTATTCCAGACTTCCCTATTTTGAATAATGGTACTACCACTCTTCCTGTCTGGCAGGTTCACATCCTCAGTGATCCCTGACTTGTCAACCTGCCTCACCCCACACGTCCTATCAATTACCAAATCTTGTTGTTTCTGCCCCATGATTTCTCTAGCATCTGGCCTCCACGGCCACCTCTATGCTACTTCAGGCCCTTATTACCTCTCTGTCTCCTAAACAACTGCATGAGCCAGGAGAGGCCTTCTTTCACCCAGCTGCCAAAGTAATTGGCCCAACACACAGGGCTGACCATGTTCTTTCCTACTCATCCATTGCCTCTAGGATCAAATACAGTCTTCTGGCATTTAATGTTCCTCCCAACCTTGCTCCAACCTCCCTTTCCAACATTATTATATGATACTCCCTTCACACACTCCACAGTCCAGCCAAACTGGCTTTGCTATACTCCTCACTCATGACATTTTATCGCCAGTGCCTTTTTGCAGGCTGTCCCCTCCTCCACCCATGCCTAGATTGCTCTCTCCCTACTAACCCAAGCCTCTTAGAATTCTGCCTTTCCCTCAAAGCTCAGCTAGGGCACCTCCTCCTCCATGAAGCCCTTCCTGATTGCCTCCAGTTGCTAGTCATTCCGGTTCTCCCCTTCTCCCATGACCTTGGATTTAGTTTCTATATGCTTATATATATATGTGTACATGTGATCTCCCACTTGAGATGTATACTATTTGAAGCGAAGGACTATTTCATTTTTGGTTTTCTGTCTTACTTGGTGCCTGGCCCATAAGTGGCTGTTTAATAAATGCTGCTTGGTTGATTATGGGTTAATTTTTGGCTCTGAGCCAATCCAAAACATGCATTCCCCCCCTTGCGTGTTTGTTCTTGTTATGTAGTCTGCCTGTGTAACCTTTTGTTGAGCTACTAGGTGACGCTACAGTGGATGGAGACTGGCCTTGGAATCAGAAAGACTTGTGTTTATGACTTCAGATCTGGCCTCAAGACATGAGACCCTAACCCACTTTGCCTCAGTTCCTTGAAATCTGTAAAGGAAATGGCAAACTATTCCATATTTCTGCCAAGAAAACCCTAAATGAGGTACAAAGAGTGGGGCAGGACTGAACAACAACCACTTTTTGTTCCTATGGTCCCCTACCTTTGTGGAAAAGAAGGGAATGTGTTTCATTATATATCTTTTGCAACCCAAAGTGGTCATTCTATCTAATTGGGTAGACTGACTTTTTTTGTCATATTTGTTTACATTATCCTAGTCTTTGTATATGCTGTTTTCCTGGTTCTTTCTTTATTCTTCATCATTTCATATAAGTCTTCCCCGTAATTCTCCGAATTCTTCAAATTTAGTCCTCATGGTGCAGTAATATCCATTGTATTCCTATATCACATGTCCCTAGTATCACTTTTCACCGTCTCAAAATCCTCTTGTGCACCTAGTGAAGTCACTAAGCCTTCTGTTATAACCAAAAGCAGAATCTGTACATTTGGTTTAGTAATACTCAGAGGATCATAGATTTCGAGTGAGAAGGGATTATAGATGTCATTCTTTACACATGAGGAAACTGAGACCCAAAAAAGGTTAAGTGACTTGGCCAGGGTAATACAGCTAGTAAGTGTCTGAGATAAGGTTCAAACTGAGCTCTTCCTGATTCCAAGTTCAGCCTTCTATCTGACATACCAGCCTGCCTCTCAGTAATAGGAATGGCTATTTCTCTAGTACTTGTAAACTTTCAAAGTGTTTTCCTCACAATGAACAACTCTGTCTTGAGGGAATTTGATTATTAGCCTCATTTTAGAATTATCAGGAAAGTAAGGCTCACAACCAAGCATGACTTACCAATGGTCACATAAGGAGAGCTGGGATATCAGCAGATCTCCAGGTTACATTACTTTTCTATTTATAAAGGTTCAAAGTCCCCTTTATTTGGCATATAGTGCCCTAAAAGCAGTCTTTGCTTTAAATATTCTGTGTTTTTGTGCAATCGGGCCTTTAAGTAAAAGTCTGTATTTAGTTCTGATTTGTTTTCTTAAAAACAAAAAAAATTACTCATTTTTCTTAAAAAAAAAAACAAACACTTCTCCCTGTTTGTTTCCATAATTAAATATATAGATACTGAATAATACATAATCGAATGTATTGAATGATAATATATAATTGAACATAATTCCAAATTGAATGTCTGTCTCCATAATTGAATTAATATGTTGAATGGTATATGAATTTTTATTTTTAAAAAATACTTTTTGTGTGTTTTGTTTTTGTTTTTTTCCAGAATTACATTCATGGAAGCAGCCAGGCCCAGTTTGTAGCTGAAACACACATCGTCCTTCTGTTTAGTATCCTCCTCAAAATAATTCACTGGCAATGACTTAGTTTTCATGTACCTGTCCCCTCATCAGCATTTCTTGCATTCTCTTTGCTATAGTCTCCTACAGGGTGATGATGGCCTTTGGTTAATGCTCTTTGCAGCAAAAACTTGCTTCATGCTTTTACTTTAACCAGACGCAGCTCTCTGACTTATATTAATTTGACTTTTTGAGCAGTATATATGTCGTTATCCCTTTTGGGGGGGGGGAGGGGCTTTTTTTTTTTAATCCAGCTCCAGGAAAAGACTGATCACCCTAGCTGTAGGCTCCAGACAGTGACCGAATTTGGAGTCTCTCCTCCATTTACTGTTTAAACCTTTCTTTCAGGGAAATGTGTCTCTCTGTATTCATTGGGCTTAAGAAGTAGAACTCCACCCTTCTGGCCACCATCTGGAGCTGTCTGCTGTTGTTTCTCAGCAGTAAATAGCTCAGATACATTGCTTGACAGAGTGGGGTATTTTTAGTTTGGCTAGATGATATTACAGGGAGTGGACATGAAGAGGGCAGGGGAAATTCCCCTGGTCCTAGGCCAGGAGCACCTGAACACATTCCATTGAGCTATATAATGTATACCTTCTCCCTACTCCTAACTTGGAAAAATAGAGGCTTTTAAGCCAAATATATTTTTCTACTTTAGGGCACCCCCTGTCATGGATATTGCATGCCCCATTATTGCCAAGCATCCAGCATATGCATGTTATGATCCGAAAGTTTTTCTTATTTTTTGTAGGTTGCAAACCCCACTGTGCCATCACTGGCCACTACTAATACCTCAATGTGCCATGGAGGTGATTAGATAACAGTACATGCTAGGGGAGGGGAAGCTCTGGCGTGTCTGACAAATTAGAAAGGCTTTTAAGAATGCCCAGCAACACACTCATTGTCTAAGGCCAACCTACTAATCTCAGAGAAGCTTATTGCCAGGCATTGGCCAGCAAGTGATTTCTTTTCCTACTACCACAGCCACTTAAGAGGACCCATCTTCAAAGTGTAGAGGGGCTATAGCCTATGTCAATAGAAGGAGCAACAGGCTGGATAAAATAGCAGAACATATCAAGATTTTTTAAATTGATGGTCTTTTATTTGTTTTGTTAAATATTTCCCAATTACATGTGAAAAAAATTTGAACATTCATTTTTTAAAAATTGAGTTCCAAAGGGGCAGCTAGGTGGCACAGTGGATAGAGCACTTGCCCTGAACTTAGGAGGACCTGAGTTCAAATGCAGCCTCAGACACATAACACTTACTAGCTGTGTGACCCTGGGCAAGTCACTTAACCCCAATTGCCTAAAAAAAAAATTGAGTTCCAAATTCTTTCCCTCTCTCCCCTTACCCATCCCTTGGGAAGATAAGCAATATGATATTGATTATACATGTACAGTCGTGCAAAATGTATTTCCATATTAGCCATGTTGCAAAAGAAAACACACAAAAATCCCCCAAGAAAAATAGAGTAAAAAAAAAAGTAATTGATAGTCTTTTAACCAAAAAACAAATGTATTCCTCCAAAGAATTAAGTAAAACCAATGAGAGATGACAGCATTCAGAACACTCTGCTTTTGCTTTTCTGCCTTTTCCTACCCATGTAATTAGTACCAAGGTCTGTAAAGATGGCGCTTGGACTTGATTGATACTTAGATGATCCTTTATTGTTATTTTAAAATTCCTATCAATGGATTTCTCTTTTGTGCCAGAGGCCTAGTCTTGGTTCGAATAACAATTGGGATCTTCTGATGGGTCATTTTACTTCTGATCTAGCACCGAGCCTGAGAAAAATGGAGAGTAGGGAAAAGTCTTCTTTTAATCAGCAAGTATCTGCTCTCCAGCTCGTTGAGGCACACTTATCGTCCTTGAGGCACACTTATCGTCCGTATGTACTTTGGAGGAAGGAATATGCAAGATAAAAGTAATAGGACTGGTTGTTTAAAGGCAAAGTAAAGAGGTAGGAAAAAATAGTTTTGGTTTTTGCAAATCATTCTTAGGTACTGAAATGTTTCATTTAAAATGTAAGCTCTTGGGGCAGCTAGGTGGCACAGTGGATAGAACACAGGCCCTGGAGTCAGGAGGAGCTGAGTTAAAATCCGGCCTCAGACACATAACACTTACTAGCTGTGTGACCCTGGGCAAGTCACTTAACCCCAACTGCCTCACCAAAAAACAAACAAACAAAATAAAACGTAGGTTCTTCTGTATCACATTGCACACTGTCTTGGGGAGGAGGCAGGAGGGAGAAAGGGAAGAGGAGAAAAATTTAAAACTCAAAAGCATATGAAGTGATTGTTGACAACTAAAAATAAATTAATAAGAAAAGAAGACAGTCCCTGCCCTCGAGGAGCTCACTATCTAATGGGAGGAAGTGGGAAGCTGAGAAGGTAAGAACAACCACAAAAAAATGTAGGCTCTTGTTTCTGTGTTGAATGTCTCTTCGAAACTTAATTTTCTTTAAATTACACTTGAGTACAAATTTTTGTGTTAGGAAGAATCCTCCTCTCATTTACTGCACTCTGTTTTCCGGGAAGAAACAAAGCCGATATTATGTGCGCAGCTGACCCCGAATGTCTTTGAATTTCTCCTTAAACCACATTCAAAGATGGTGCTGTTACTCTGGGGATAGTGCTGTTGTGTGAAGCCATCACATCTCACATGGATATTGGAAAGAGAAAGCGTAAGTCTCAGAAAGCATTTGTAAAAAGTCGAGTTCAGAGGATTGACTTGAAATTGAAGAGCTATATATGCCTTGCATCCAAGCAGGTGATTCATAAATGCTGGTGAATTGAGTTATAAGCCAAAAATGTTCCAAACAACGTTTTGTTCTTTCTGTTTAAAGACTGGACTTTCCCTTTGTTTAAGAGATCTTTTTGCAATCCAGAAGTTTTTCTTTGAATGGCATCAACACTTATTTTTCTATCTGAATCAATACAAGTAACTCCCATCTTATAAGTGAGTTGTGTTCTTAAGGCAATCAGTACTAATAAATGGTGGTTAGGTTCCTAGGCCTGTCCACAAAAGCCTATCTAACTCAAAATGTACCTGAAGTATGATGTGATATTAATAATAATATAGAACCTAGTCCCCATTCTAATATGTGACCAATAGCAATGTTTCTATGGGAAAACACATTTAAAGTTCAGACTTTGGATGTCAGGAACCCAGCTCCCTACCCTTGAAATGGGAGCAAGGACCACCCAACCCACTGGGCAGAAAATGGGAACCAGACTTTGAGATCACAGGAAAGTAGGGTTTGGATGTGAGGAAAGGGTTCTGGATTTGTGGGGTGAGAAGATGGGAGTAGGAGGCAGGGGTTGGGAAAGCAAGGATTGTAGGGGGAAAGGAGCTGTAAGGGCTCAGTCTCCTGCCTCTAGAAGCCTTCTTTCCTTAGCTAGGTTTACCAGCCCTGGCTTGCCCCCTCCCCCCCACAGCCTGAAGAGATTGGCTTGTCTGCTTCCCTTTCTAGTACTGCTCTTTTTTCCCTTTCTGGGTGTTCCTGAGAGCTGAGGTAGTAGAAAGAGGACTGTGTTAGAGTCTGTAGAGGTCTGGATTTGAATCCTGGCCCTGATTGCTTTAGAGTTGTATGCCCCAGGGCAAGTCACTTCTTTTTTCAGACTATTGTTTTTTTCTGTATTTAAAATACTCAGATAACGTATTTCATGAGTTTGTGAGGTAATGCTTTGTAAACGTGATGGTGCTAAAGAAGAGAGCATCTTCTTCTGAACAGTCTGAAAGCTTCTCTGTAGGACAGGCCTCTGAGATTACCTACCACAAGGTCTGAAGAATCACTACTGGGCACAGAGTCCTGGGAGAAAGCTTGGTATGGTGGCTTTGGAGGCAGACAATCTAGATTCCAATTCCAGCTCTAGAGGCAGACCATCTAGATTCCAGTTCCAGCTCTAGCGCCTGTGTGATCTTGGGACAAAAAATATCATCCCTCTGGGCCTTCTTCAGTTTCCTAAATTGTAAAAGGAGGGAATTGAGCCAGATGACCTCTATCTGAATCTTTGACCCTTCTGTACACTGTCACCTCACACCCATTTTCCCCATCACCTAGGGATGGGACTGGTAGCAGGAGCTGAGAGGGAAAGCAAGGGAGAAGGAAGAGAAATCCTAAGGCATGGGGAGGGGAAAGGATGTTTTTGCTGTAGGATAGACATTTTGAAATAATTAGGACAGCCCATTGCTAGATCACAAATATTTCATTTTTACTTTTGCTAACTTTCCCTTCAACTGAAAATATAATTTCCATTTGCTAAAAGTTAAAGGGAGGTGGTACAGTAGATAGAGCACCAGCCCTGGATTCAGGAGGACCTGAGTTCAAATGCAGCCTCAGACACATAACACTAGCTGTGTGACCCTGGTCAAGTCATTTAACCCCATTGCCAACCCCCCCCCCAAAAAAAAGAAAAAAGGTTAAAGGGAATGGTTGGAGGGAATCTCAGAAGGCAAATTTGTTATTCTTTTCATTTTTCAGAGATTCTGTTGTATATTCCGCATTATGGGGGAAATTCGAGTATTACTAGTACTTCTAAAGTTACACTGAAATATAATATGGCTCTGATCTCAGTATAGAGGTTAGCAATCCCAAGGTCACACAGCTCAGAAGTTTCAGAGGCTTCATCTGAACCCAGGTCCTGTGACTCCCAACTTCCAGATTTTACTGTGCCCTCACTGTTTCAAGTTCTATCTTAAGGAACCATGTTTAGTTAGTTCTTCACGTTTCCAGAGCAAAGTATATTCATAGATCTCAACTATGAATGCATGAAATAGATACTTTCTATATAAGACAACTTAAAATATCAGTTTACCTATCTAAGAAGCAGTTTGATGACTAATTCTTTTGTTAAAAAAAAAAAGCATCTCCTTGCCTTAGGCTTCTGTTATTTTCAAAGATACGATCTTTGACTTTCTTTCTTTTTTTTTTTTTTTGGTATTTTGCTAGGCAGTGGGGTTAAGTGACTTGCCCAGGGTCACACAGCTAGTGAGTGTTAAGTGTCTGAGGCCAGATTTGAACTCAGGTCCTCCTGACTCCAGGGCTGGTGCTCTATCTACTGCACCACCTAGCTGCCCCCCATCTTTGACTTTCAAAGAAAGTCAATTCTATGTGTCTTTTAAACTATAGCAAATTCTGTGGCATGTCACATTTAGCCTAAGTCTCAGAATGTTCATATGTGAAAATGATGCCCTGAAAGAATGAACTTTCCTTCACCTTTGGCACTTGAATCAAATGATACTCTTCATTTTTCCATTATTCTAACTGACCAGCCCCTACTTCCAGCAAAGGGATATTTGTTATTCCTAATAAAGTTTTTCTAAAATCAGATTCTTTTTGCTGGGGGAGGTGGTTCTGCCAAATGGAAATCATACAGTGCAAGTATGATTTCCATTTGGCAGATTTGAATACAGGATATAGAGCCTGTTCTTTGTAATAATAATATGGTGTTGAAAGCTTAACTATGCAGGTACTAGTAAAGGCTGTCTCTCTGTTAAAATGCCTTCCAATCATATATCTCTTAGAGTAGTGGTTCTCAAAGTGTGATCAGGGGACCCCCGGGCATCCATGAGACCTTTTCAGGGGTGAAGTCAAAACTGTTTTCATAGTAGTAAGATGTTTTAATTTCAAATACAGTCAGTATTGATATGATACACATAACAAAAGCTCTTGGGGGTAATTTTTTAATTTTAATTTTTAATAATTTTTAAGAGTGTGAAGAGGTCCTGAGACCAAAAAGTTTGAGAACCATTATCCCAGATAATACAGGTTATGCCTCTTATAAGCGAGCCTCAAATGAGATGTTCTAGGCCAGTTAGGCCCCCATAGGTCTTTCTGGACATTGCTGTTTGGGTGACTGGCAATTTTGATTCCTCACAGCTAGTGGTGTACTTCGTGAAAATAAATTAAAGAATATTGGTGTTTTAAAAAGGGGGGCGAGGGTGCTGGTTCATGGCTAAGGTTGGTAAAAATTCTGCAGTTTTTTTGTTTTTTTTTCCCTAGATGCCATTCAGCCTGTTTTCTTCCTCCTTTTCAGTTTTGGGCCTAGCTCCTTGTGCATATAGATAGTTAATAGTAAATATTTATTAAGCATCCACTGTGTACCAGGTACTGTGCTAAGCAGTGGGGATACAAATACAAAAAAAAAAAGACCTTGTCCCATGTACCCTGTCCAATCTGCAGTGTAAGACAAAACACCAAAGTGAGGGAGGGGGAGAACAGGAGGGTACCAGATGCAGGGGCATGATGGAGAAGGTGGTCAGAGGAGCCTCAAAGCAGTGCAGCCTGCTGAGAAATGAGATGTCTGAGCTGAGTTCTCTCCTTAAATGGAGGTTTGGAGTGCATGGACCCAGCCTCTCATCAGAGAGGAAGAGGATAGTGATAGAATGAGCTTGTCCAGGGTCTCACAACTCATAAGCATCTAAGGCAGCATTTGAAACCAGTTCTTCCGTACTCCAAGTCCAGCAAGCACTTGTCTTATCCACTAGGATGTGCTCCCTCTCTTTATATCCATTTTTTTAAAAAAGCACGTAGAAAACCATAAAGCCCTGTTAGATGAAAGTGGGGGGCTGTTCATTGTTCTAGAGCCAGATAATCAGGATTCTCACCTGTGCCAGATTCTTCCTTTGGTGTAGAGATGAGGGCTGTGTAATCAGGTGCCCCTCCCCTGCACTTAGTTAGGATGCCCTTTTCTCCTTTCGACAGTGATGTGTGCCGTGGGCATTGTGCTGGTCGTAGTGTTTTTCAGTTGGATGCTGTCTGTCTTCAAGTCCAAATACCATGGCTATCCCTACAGGTAAGAAAGGCTCTTACTTTGTTAACTGTAGTCTGGTGCCAACCACGGTGTGCTACCATCTTGTTATTTGTTGCACTCTTACTTTGTCTTAAAGTTGTTCCAACTTCTCTTAAATTGTCTGCATGCAAATGGACTGAATTATGATTATTCCCTCCAAAAAAAACTTATTCCGGCATATGCTCCTTTAAGGATTTCTAAATTAAATTAGTATAATGTCAAGAAAAGCTCGGACCATGGCGTTCATAGCTCACCCACCTTGATTTGACTGGTGGTCCAAGGCAGAGCGGACAGAGCCCCTGTTTCTCAAAGCTTAGCCACACAGCCCATTACAAAGCATGTGCCACCCCTGAAAATCTCTGCTACTTCCCTGCCTTGCTTTGAGACCCTCCATTTTCCCACCCCAGGCTCTAGTGTCCCAAATACCATTTTCCTTCTTGAAGAAAGGATTATTGGGGGCAGCTAGGTGGCACAGTGGATAGAGCACCAGCCCTGAAGTCAGAAGGACCTGAGTTCAAATGCAGCCTCAGACCCTTACTAGCTGTGTGACCCTGGGCAAGTCACTTAACCCTGATTGCCTCACCAAAAAAAAAAAAAAGGATTATTGTTCTCTCTTCTCTATCTGCATATTTAGGAAAAGAGTTACATAAGCCCTCCAGGACTTTCCTCTTCCCCCTTTTTCCTAGAACCACCCCATTTCCTCTCTTATTGACATGTAAAGAAAAGGAATCCTCAGATTAATTAGAAAATCTACCTCTGGTGAGGCTTGGGGTAAGGTTGCTGATTAGCTCTAAGCCCCACCTGTTCTTCCTCTTCTATACTCTTGTCTGTATTGGGGGGGGGGGGGAGAGGGAGTGCATTAATTCCTGAATACTTTCCTGCACTGCAATCTGTAATGACTAATGGATCTATGTATATATTTCAGTTTCCTGATGAATTAAAAAGAAGTGAATCAACGCTGGAACATTAAAGCTTGGAAATTGTATATATTGTATTGGAACAGTGCAAAATGTGTATGGTTCATATTACCTCTCTTGAAAAGGATTGAGATTGTGTTAAAAAATTGAACCAAAGAGTGACGTGTAGTGCCTTAATGTTAACAAGCAGTTTGCTTTAAAAGTCCGTGCAGTGTTAGGACAAATTTTCCTTCTGTAGTTAACCTCCCCATCCCAGTGAGCTTTATGAAACAGTTAACCTCGTGGAATTCAGAGTTTTTTAGACAGAGTATGTTTTGGGAATAAAAGAAAATCTTCTAGTAGCACTATTTCAGTCTAATTTGAGGAATTCCTTTTTGTTAATTTTTAGTCACCTGATAAAATATTTTTCTACTCCAGTATGAAGAGATATCTTGATCAATCTTTATCTGTCCAGCAATTTCAGGTAACTATAATAAACATCCACTCCTCATTCTCCCTTTCTTCCCCCATGGAATTGATGCTTTGCACATCTGTCTTTTAGGTTGAGAAATGAGATGTGCTGTGTTGCCTCCTAAAAACAGAAAACACTCCCCATGTGTACAGACCTAGGCTCCTTAATGGATATTTTGCTCAGGTCTTTTCTCCTGAAGCACATTGCTATGGAGCTTTGGATAGGAAAAAGTCACATAAAAAGTCATCTCTGGGTGCTAATAAGCAGTCTTATACCTAGAGCTTTCAGGTGAATTCCCTTTCCCAATTTTTCTTTAATTCAAGAAAACTCATTTAAAACATGTCAGCTTTGTAATAAATTAGTCCAACTTCCTAATTAAAAAAAAATCATCCTAATTTGAAGTTACTTTGGGGGTCACCATAGTAGTTCACAGAGTGAACCTAAACACTTTCTGATTGGGACAAATTTCCTTGAGACTTTGTCTACTTTAGGACAAAGTGTTTGGAAGATGATTAAATAAAGTGACAATTATGAGGATTTCTGGGAAACTACATGATCAGTAATTTGTATGTGACAAGTAATACATGAATGAATATGTTTAATTATATGATGAATTTTTTTCATTTCAGTTACGCTTACTAATTGATGCTAAGCACGACGCCTAGTGACTGTCAATTATCCAGTGGTTGGGGTGAACAGGTAGTCAGGCCCTACTGTGCTAAGTTGTTTAATGTATGCTAACTAATTGGGTTAAAACTATTTTTTTCTGTTTAAAAAAATCTCCTGCCCATGGGCCATCCATTGGGCATCTAGTTTGTCTCGGTTGCTGCCTCTGTATGTAAATGAAGGGCCCTAGAAAACCTGCGGTACTTCTATTTTCCACCTTTTCCTCCTTCCCCAAGTACAGGGCCAGAACAGTTGGCTTTTTGGTGTTCATATTCCCAGCACTTTGCACATGGTTGGCACTTAATGGATGCTTGTTGAACTGAACTGAAATTTTTTTTTTCCTCCCAACATCTTTAAGTACAAGAGCAAGATAAAAATTCAGTATTTCATCCTTGCCTTTCTTCGATGAATGAAAATAATAGATAAAAGTTAGCAAATGAATTGTTGTAACTCAAATGATTGTGCTCCCTGTTTAATTCTCCACAGTGGTTACTAACTTTCTGTGAGAATTTAATTCACTATTTACCATTAGGTCAAAATACATATTCTCTTCAGTAATTGGTGAGAAAAGCAAATACAGTGATGGTGGGAGAGAGGGATGTGGACGAGTGTGCTAGACTGAAAGTGAAGTCCTGCCTTTTTTTTTTTTTAAAGCTGTGACTGTCGACTGCCAGCTGTTGTTCACCTTCCCCAGAGTATAAAGCATAAAGTTCTGTGGCCTTATGCCAGAGAGGCCATAGGTGATCACTGTTTGGAAAGGTCCTCCAGGCTGCATCTTTTATTTATTAGTCCATTGGGAACCTCGCTTTTGTGCATTTTCTTGTGTCTCTGTCCGCTGTTGTAGTTCGTGTTGGACCCACTGAACTGATGCCGTGATTCCTAATAGTGAAACTTGTATGAAGCTGTGTGGCCACAGAAAAGTATTAGAATATTACTAGTACAGAAAGGTTCCATGCCCTGGAGGTTGAACTAGTGTGTAGAGAAAAGAGATATTGCTATACTCAAAACTGAGCATTTCTTTTACTTGGATTTTGAAATTGACTTCCATCTAAAGTGCCTTAACTAGATTTTACTTAGCTTTCCATGATCAGTTTAGATATCACTTATATTACTTTTAATACTTTAAAAAGTAATACATTATAGTTACACAGATAATCAGATGACTGGGTTGTTGCTTCTGTATAACATTTCAATAAACTGTTTTACAATCTTAATTGCAGGCTTTTAATGATTTAATTTTTGAAAGGTGAGCAGGTAATTTTAAAAGAGACTTATAAAACTGATTCCAATTTTGAAATTCTGATGACTTTACAATTTGTAACCCAAATTATAACGAACCTGATAGTTTCAGATATTTTTATTATCTCTGAGTATATTGTATTCACATGAGACTGAAAAATTAGTCTTTTTTTTTTTAATCTTTACAGCCTATTGGATTAGTCAGAATATCTGAGAAAGTCAATGAATGGATAGTTGAATGTTTTAGGTTTTGTCCTGTTCAAGTAAATATTCATGGTTGGGTCTATTCTAACAAAGTCAAGAATTAAGAAAATTACATAGTCAGCTTGAGTAAAACAACTTTCTCTTTTATGATCAATCAGCCCTGTATAGGGTCTTTTGTTTCATGACTGCTTCTACTCTGTATTCTGCTTTGGAGGTCCCACTGTAGATTATGGGAACTTGTAATTCTGCCCTCAGTATTCCAAGATCATGGTGGATAGGTGGTCTCCTTTTAAAACTTTGTAATTAGCAGCTTTTAAGAAGTCAATACTCACAGAAACAGTTCCAGTGATAGTTGCCTGTGGATATGAATCTATATGAATATATAATTGCATATTTATTATTGTTGTTATTACTATTATTATCATTATAGTAGAGAGATCAGTGGACTAGGAATTTGGAGATCTGGGTCCCATTCTTGGCTCGGCCATGAACTAGTTGTGTGACCTTTAATGCCTGGGTGTCAGTTTCCTTGTCTGTAAAATGAAGGCTTTGATTTGAAGAAACCCTTTGTGTAGAGGATAAGGACTTGGGTGTAAAATATCAGAAGTTTTAAATAGACCAGAGTCATTTGATGCACCACAACTGGGAAAGAGTTGGAGTATCGTCAACTAAAGTTCAGTGTAATCCCTCTATGGGCAGTTGCTCTGGGGCTAGAAATTGGAGAGGAGGTAACTAGCACTTGTGGAGCCAGGAGCAAAGGAGAGGCTAACCAGAGAGCCATGTAGCCGAGATCCCCAGTGTAGAGTGACAGATCCTGGCTACCTCACTTGCTGGGGTCCCACTCAAAGTAGTCATCAAAGTTACAGAGATTGTATTGGAGGCTAAGGGAAGAATGGCCTAGGGCAGGGTAGGGCATCCTTTGTGTTTGTATTTGTATAACTTTGATGTTTAGCAAAATGAAGGCAGTGGACTAGGGGATCTGAAGGGTCCCAGTTAACTCACATATTCTCTGCTTCCAAGTTAGTCAAATATATTTTTAAGGTTGGAGTTCAGTTTTCAGCGAATATCTAATTTTCTTTGTTATTCCCATTTAGCTACTTAATGAAAGCTATATGTAATATAGGCTTTTCTGCAGCTCTTGGATTTCAGAAACGGCATATTGTGAAATGTTATATAAGGATATGAAGAATTCCATATGCTATATATTGCTAACATGTCTAATACTATGACTTTTTTTTTAAATAAAGTTTTGTTTTACATCAGTAACTTCTCAGTATACCTCAGCCCCCATAGAAACCTCCCTTTTAACAACCAAAAACAGTTCAGCAAAACCAGTTGACTTGAGGACAGCATGTAGTGACATATGCAGTATTCTGCCTCCATAGACTCTGTGGAGGGAAGGGAAGTGTGTTTTCTCATTGTTCTTTGGAACCAAGATTGGTGGGTACATTGAATCTGAGTTCTGGTGCCCTTTAGTGTTGTTTGCATTTACATTTTTGTCATTGTGTGTATATTTTCCTGGTTCTGCTTTCTTTTGCATCAATTCATACAAGTCTTCCCGTTTCTATGAATTCTTCCTATTTGTAATTTCCAGTGGTCCAATAATCTGTTATATTGATATGCTATAATTTGTTCCAGCGTTTCCTTAATTAACATGTACCCATTTTGTTTCTGGTTTTTTTTGTTTTTGTTATTATTTTTGTTTTTACTGATCCTTTAGTCTTTTAGAGAGAACTCACTTTGTAAATATTAGCTACATACTGATGTGCAACTGTGATTCATGGATGAAGTGATGATGACCCTTTCACTGGGTGGTACTCAGCAAGGTTCCTGATGCCTTCCATTTGGCAAGTTTTCCTATCTGCAATAAGATTTTTCTACATCTTGTTCTAGGCTTAACTTTCTCATTCTAAGTGAAACATAGTAGAAAGTATAAGTTTAGAGGATAGTAGCATTTTTGAGCTAGAAGAGACCCCAACATATCTAGTATAACCCCTTCATTTTATAGAAAAGGAAACTAGTGCTTGGACTGGTGAAGCAAATCGGTAGCTCTCTCAGTTCATTAACTCTTATTTTGATTTTTCACATGAAAAGTGCCAAACAGATTTCACTCAATCCCAAAAGCACTAAGGACATTAAATATTTCTATTCCTCACGTGGTATTGGAAGGTTATCAATACAGTAAGGATGGCTTTGAACTAAGACGATAATTACCACGTGACACTGGAAGGATCATATTTAGATGGTGTGAAATTGGATACTTTGATGTCTGGACCAATAGTTCTCAGTCCTCAACTGTAATCCCCAAGTAGCCGCACAGGCCAGTGATGCCCAGCTAAATGACTTCTCCAGGCCTGAGTTTTTATAGGTCGGCTGGCTGAGGTAATAGGTAATACTTAAATGTTATGCTTTCCTCATTTGTTGACACAGTTCATGACATGCTTATAGTATATTTTTATCAGTTAAGTGGCCCCTGACCATTGAAGGAGGGGGGAGGAGAAGAAATACCTGGATAAGGGATTCCCTCCTTGGCCAAATTGAATATTTCAGTTTTTACAGTCACAGCACTATATTCTAGGCCATGAGCATTGGGCCTATGAAAGACCCATGGTTTTACTCACCTAATACATCCCATCCCTTGTGGGATCATAGACTAAGAGCCAGAAGGTACCAATCTATTCCAATTCCTCCCACTCCCATTATACAAATGAAGAAGGTCCAGATTGATGAAGTTCCGTTTAATTTAGTAACCATTTATTAAGCACCTACTATGTGCCAGGTACTGTGACTTGTCCAAGGGCACACAGATAGCAAGGGACGTCCTCCCATTCCAAATCCAGTGCTTTTTCTTTCTTTTTAATAAATATCTTTTGTTTCCACAAATCCAGTGCTTTGTCCTCCACCTCTTATACAAACCAAACATGTACACAATTAAGAACATCATAAAGATGTTGTGAGTGTCTTTTAAGGCTGAAAAAAAAGTCTCAGCTCTGCCACTTATTACCTGTATGACCTTAGAAAGGTCACTTCACCCTGATTTCATTTTTTACCATCTAATGAACCTCTAAGGTTCCTTCCAGCTCTATGTGTATGGTGCTATCATGTAAGCTCCTTGAGGGCAGGTACTATTTTTCACCTTTTGTCTTTGTATCCCTAAGGCCTAGCATAGTACCTTGCATATAGTAGCTACTTAAAAATGTTTTATTGAATTGTTTGTAAGGTAATACTACCCAGGGTGCACTTAGCAAAGTTCTTGGCACTGTCAAATGGTTCAACGTGAGAAATTGGTTTTTATCAGCAGAAATGGCATGACAAAGAAGATGGATTCCACCTGATTTCCCCGCTTCACCCTAAGGACCATTGGGCCTTTCCATCTGGTGTACAGCAGAAGCTTCCTCTATGTGTTATCTACTCCTATTAGAATGTGAGCTTGACAGCAGGAACTATCTCACTTTGTATTTGTATCCCCAGCACTTAGCTCAGTGCTTTGCATACAGTAAGAACTTAATAAATGCTTTTTCATTCATTAATTCATTCATTCATATGCATGTCCGGTGTAAGTGTGGTTGCTCTCACCTCTGGTCTAAAGGTTCCTCAGACCTGTTTGTGTAGGCATCCTGGCCTCTACTTCTGTCTCTGGAGATGCAGTCTGAGCAGTCAGATTGCCCAGACCAGTGCCTGCTGGCTGAATGGCTTCGCTGGCCTGGGTCATGTTGCTTTACCCATTTGTTGATGCCACTCCTCAGGTGCTTTTAAAGTATCCTGGTCAGGGGAATACATTCACTTAGGTAAGTCCTGGCCAATGAAAGGGGGCTGGGGAAGAGGTCAGAATCCCTGGGGGAGGGTTCCTCCACTGATCAAATTGAATATTTGGATGTGATGAGCAGAACAGCAGAATGTGCATGAGAAATGGTGAACTCACTATAAACTTTATTCTTATCTACCCAGTATAGTGGCAGAGCTCAGCCTAGATTCTGTGTGACTCTTAGAAGCACCTTAGTTAACAGTATAAGGGCCCTGAATTTGGAGTCAGAGGACCTGGGTTTGAATTCTGGCTGACACTTCTTACCTGTGTGACCCGGGATGGACAACGACAGCCTGAGTCCGAGTGTCCTCATCTGTAAAATGAGGAGGTTGGATTAGAAGACTGCTAAGGTCTAAATTTTCAAATCAATTAAGGTTCAAGGTTGTCAAAGTTCCTAACTTAACCTGATGGGATTTTCTTGTCTCTCACCATTTGGAACCCAAGGGAG